CGTAATATATTTGGTACTTTTGTTTGCTAGTATTTTCACGACTTTTATATAAAGAAACACGTTTGGACATTTTTCGTTGTCAAGCTTTTCGTTCAAACAAAAAGCATATCGCAGAAAACTGTTTCTTTCGCTTTACTTGGATTCGGCGTGCTTCATTTCGTGCTTCACACAGTGCCGGAAAGCATCCCAGCCCTCCGATTTGGCGTTGGACTGCAAAGAAAAGAGCACACATGTACATTTTAATAAAATTTAGTTGTTTATTAAAAAAACGGATTAGTTAAAGAAAGGAAAAGGTTTGACTGCTCTTACATCTATGTATATATTAAAGTAAGTTTCAGTAACATTGTAGTGGTCTCCATAGCGCACCTACGCTTAAGAACCCTGCAGAAAATGGGAAAAGTGAATGCGGCAGCGGTTGATGAGTCGCATTATCTATGCGATTGCCCAGACTTCAGCCGGATGCACGCACATATTCTACGGCTCTCAATGCTACAACTTAAGAGGTATTGGGCTGGTGATGTGGAAAAGTATGAAGTTTTTTTTTAGCAAATCCACTGAGTGGCTGGATAATGCTGAATTTGGTTACCAGAAGGAAGTACAACGGGCCTAATGAATTCGTTCCTATGACAGTCTACGTAACCGGAATAGACTAGGATTTTTTAGCTGGTGAAGGACTGTCAACTAGGCAGAATTCTGCTGCTACAATAACTACATGAGGCTACTAAAGGCCGCTTGCGGCCTGCAACTCACACGCCCTTTTCAACCAACCAATCAAAAAACTAATTATGGTGGATTTCAATATGTCATATATAACATTTTAGACAATTTAGGAACTTGTGGTTATTTTGAAAAGTTGCACAGATAAAGTTAATAGAAAAAAAATATACATTTTTTATTCATACTAAGAAGTATCCCGACGAAAAATGTCATCTTTTTGATTAGAATCATAATCATATAACTTTTTACCGACATTTTCGTATTTTAATAAAAATTACAAAAACAAAATTKTAATATTTTATAATAATTATATATCAAACCGGAAAAAAGGTTAACCTAGCCTTTAGGAAATAAAACAGGAACGGCCCGATTTAAAGATTTTTTTTTCGAAGATTATATCGTTGGCTTGAACAGTAACCCATACCTAAATATCGTGAATTCATTCTTCAAATGAAAAAGCTCACCAAGCAAAACTTGATTTTGTTTGACTAATTTGTATGGCAGCGATATTAGCAGTTTCGAACAAAGTGTAGTTTTCTAAAATATTTGTATCTAAAACATTTTTTATACGTGTTTCAAAAGTAAAATGGTCTAAGAGTTATTTTACTCAACATTAAAGTTATAGAAACATATAAACGAKAAATTCTCATACATAAATTAAGCGCTGAACCAGTATAGATTCATGTCTGTTTCGCATTACCGCCCAAAACTATTTGGTTAAAGTTTTATATACATACCTCAAAGCAATATTTTTTGTATATATGTATAGTATTGGAGGTTAGGTTAAAAAAAATGCAAATTTTGTAAAAATCATACATTTTTGTTGGAAATATGTTAATGATTGAAAAAAATATGTATAAAAAAGAAACTAAAATATAATAAAAGAATAACATTAACAAACATAAAAGGCAAATAAAACAATGAAATAATATTTTAAAATTATTAGTTTTTTATTTGTAAATAAGTTTATGAATATTAATAAGCATGTAAATGTTATAAACTTAAAAATGAGTATAATAATGTTATAATATTAATTAAACAAATCAGCAAGGAATTTAGAGATTTCTATTTTTTATATGAAACATAAAATGAAATGACAAAATACGTGTATGAAATGCTTTTGAACAAATTACATTTAAAAATTGTATAATTAAAGATTTGATATGCAACGAGAACTGAGATATTGGAGAATAAAAATTATTTTTACTTTGGATGAAAAAATGTGCTACTGATTCAATAAAAAATGTGAGTTTTCGTTATGGGCACTTTGAACTTTAAACCAACGTAAATTGAGATATGAAAGCGCATGCTGATTTTACAAATTTTAGGTTACAAATAAAACTATATAAAGTGTATAAACAAAAAATAAGCAGACAGGTTTTGGATACAAAATGACTTTTAGTAAAAAATAAAAACCTTTTAAGAAATATTTTGAACAAACTATGTTATGGCACTCAAGAAATGAGAGAGAACTGAAATGGACTGCTAGCCTCATTATAATTGAATTGATTTCGAAAACTTTCAAATAMATTTTTGATAGTAAAAATGTTAGACAGTCAGTTTTATGAGAATAACTCGGCGTCCTTGAAATGTTCTAAGCGGCGACAGGCGCGTTGACGCCACAACGCGAACAACGGATTGTCMGCCTCGATAAATTCATCATTAGTCAGATCGTACTCAAGTACTTTCCAATGACTTACTTTGAAGCCACGATGCACACGATCCTTCATGATAGCAATGAACTCCCTATAGGACAGCATACCGTCACCATTGTCATCGAAAATGGCAAAGACTGTATCAATCAAATGTTTACTAAGGCTGAAGCCAGTGCAAATTTTCACAGCACGCGAGAATTCACCTGCGAAGAAAAAAATTGAAATTGAAACCATTTTATGAAATCAARTAACCTCAAATATATATGAATATGTGTGTGTTTGTGTGTACTTTGTGAGATGGCACGATCGGCTAGCGTATACATGCGCATAGCGATTGCAAAATCCTCCAAATTATTGAGGAAGCGACAGAAGTCACGAAACTCATCGAACGTTATGCCGCGTTCCTCTTTAATGCGATCCATCAGACGCTCCAAATATGCATCGTATTCCTCCGTATTCAAATAGGTGTAACGTAGTAAGATTTTTGCAAAATCATTTTCGGTGATCGCCACATTGCCTTTGGAGAACTCATTGAACTCCAATTCGAGCACCTCTGTCTGCAGATTGTCCATGAATTTGTAGAAACCATCGTAGTTGAGRTCCTGATTGCCCTTCTTGCCAAATAAATGGATCTGTAGTGTGGTATCGATGCGATGTTTGCGCTGCAGGCCCTCATCGTCAGMAATATAATCGTCCTGTGGAAATTTATTAGTAAGCTCAATACAGTTTAACTGTAAAATTAAGTGTGTTAAGTATTTTAAAGCAGTTAGTTAATTTAATTAACAACGGTATTGTATTTGAGTGCTTCAACAAAAATTACATTTTCAAAACTAGGTTGGAGTAAATAATATTAGCAGCATGAGTGGCCACAACACATGTAGAGCAAGCAATGCTGCTTTTGTTACACAATTTATAAGTTTTTTTTTTTTAATTTAGGAAAAATGTTTAAAGTGGTGTATTTTATCAAGTGGTGGATAATACAAAAATTTCGATTTTTAGAACCATATTTTTTTGTATACAATTATGATAATAAAAAAAGTATATCAATCGTATGAGGATACACATACATAGTTCTAGAATATAGTACTAAATGTGATATGTACGTAAAGTGACTACAACTTTTGGTTATATGGTCATTATAACCGCATTTCAAGCTCTGAAAATGTTCAATAAAAATAAATTTTAAATAGTGTTGAAAAACMTAAATACTAAAATTATTTGTATACAGCAGAAAATTTATCACACCACACTTTATTTACTCCACACACACAAATACCGTACCTGCGCGCGTTTTGCAGGTTCATTTTTCGATGGCTTTTTATCGCAATCGTCCTTGGAACGTCGTTTATCTTTCCAGACACCACTAAAAATGCTTTCCATCTGTTGTAAGCGTGTTAGTTTTGGCACAAAAACAATCAAATATCATGCGATTAATAAAATGGCACAGAAAATATGAATGCGACGCCATAATGACATAACAATACAATAAAAATATTAACTTCAAACAACAAAATATTTCAGAAATTAAATAACAATACAACAATAATGTTAATTTCACACCACAAAATATAGTTAAAGTAAAATTTAAAGTAAAAAGCGTGTAAATTAAAAACAAAAATCAGTTTGAGCACTACGRCAACTATTCGGCAGTGTGCCGAGATATATGCTCATTGATTACATCCTCAGCAAATAGTATATTTTACTTAGACTATCAACAGTGTTTACAGGTGAAGCGGTTTATTTTTATGGATGAGCGCTGGAGCGGGTCTCATACAGAAGCCAAGATATGCGGATATTTACATATACATATATGTGTGTGTAAGTATATTATAGCTCAACTGT